TCTGGAAGTTTGGTACAACCACATTAGCTGTGCCTTCTCCAACTTCTAGAAACGGATCACTGTCAATTCCCATGGCTTTTTCTGTTTTAGCTGGGAACTTCAAACTTCCTTTCCGAATCTGTTCTTGGATCCTGTCTCGAAAAACAATGCAGTTTTTAGCGAGTGAACCAAGAATTATGCCATTTCAGTATACTTTTCCTTTAGCTCATCTGGAGATGGTAGTTTTACTCCTTTTGGTAACTTAAGGAAATTAGCCGCGAGCAAATAATCAAAGATGTCATCTGCTTTTGTAAATCGAAAGAGTATTTTTTCATGTGAAAGTCTTTCTTTTTAAACTGCTGGTCTATAGTTGTATCCTTATGAATTATGCTTCACAGATTACGGGTTCTTTGCCTACAACTCTGCTGTCATATTCATAATTAGGATCTCTATAATATGTCTTATATGATGCATTATTTCGATTCTGTTCCTCTTCTAAAAATGTTTCATATCGAGACACCTTATAGGTCAGTTCGACCAAATCTCTGAATTCAGTTGAATCAAACTTTTTTTCGAAGCCTGAATTCTAAACCATTTTGAGGCAATCTGACAAATTCTGGCTCTGCAAGATGACTCTACATTTTATTTCGAGCCCTTTAAATCTGGCAATAAACTGAGTAGCTTTTCTTCAGGCCTTTGACTCAATCTAGCCAAATCTGCCATAGATACTTCTGGCTCTGATTGGAAGAATTGGGCATGAAATGCCTCTTCCATTTGTTGCCAATTTTGAATGGAGCCAGGTGTAAGGTTGAGTACCATACGAATGCTCCCCCCGTTAGAGGAATTTGGAATAATCTCAGTTTCATATAGTCATGTTAGTAAATTCACCGCATTGAGCCAGCAAACCTAGCAATATGTTCATCGTTGATTGATTTCCAGTCCCATAAAAAAAGGGTTAAAATCTGGTATCCTGAATCCCCTGGGTATTCATGTACTCTATCTACCCATTCTGGGTATGGTTTCTGTATATAGGAGTCTGGACCCCCGAGCCATTGGTCCACATATCTCCTCCCTAACAATATCAGCAATCTGGTTCCTTAGGGACCATATTTTGGCCTGCTGAACCACTATGGAGGGGCAACACAGGATTTGGTGACAAACTTGTGCTTGTGGTCCTCTTGGTCCATAAGGTGGTAAATTGGGGCGTTGTCCTTGCGGTGCAGGTTGCTGTTGGAGTATGGGTAACCCCTTTGAGCATGACCTGCGAAAGGACTTGCAAAAGGTGCTGGAACAGGTGTTGTGTCTCTGCCATTTGTAGGAAAACCTCCAACCCCCGGGTGTAAATTCAATAAGGGATTAGTGTACCCCTTGTGCCAGGTATGGCTCGAACATGGGATTTGTAACCATTCTTATGCCAGTTTCTTGTATTTGGCCAGATCCACCAACTGTGTGGTTCTTCATTAATTAGTACTGAGCATTTTGGCCTCTATAGGCCTTGAAATGGGGTCATACCAAGACTGAGGTGATGGTCTTTCATAGTTGTGTATTACTAGTTTTACCATTATACTGTCTCATTAACTTGCATAGGCTGTTTTTCTCTAGCCAATCTTTGTTGGGACATTTACAGCTTCCTCCGTGTGTCTTGTGTTTGTTGGTTTGGTGGTATTCATTCGATCCAAAAAGGATGTTGCCCACCTTTCCATTGTGTCATAATTGTTGTCCCATGCATATACATAAACCATCCCATGGATTTGTTGGTTGAATAAATGGCACAGTGGACGGTCCAATTCCTTGGTTTGTCCAAATATATAGAACGATTATGTTCTTGTCCAGAAGTACTGTCTGTTCGACCATAGGTTCTGACAATATAGGAGTTTCCACAGGATGTGTTACCACATTATCCTCTGGATTTGGTATTTCTACCTCCTCTCCTTCCACGCCTTCTCCAAGCTTCATTTTCTCCTTGTTGTCTTCTTCTAGCCATTTTAATTAGGTCCCACCGGGCGTGCCAAAAATATATGTTGGCTTTTTGGCTTTTCGAAGGGTATTTTTGTGAATGTGAGCGTGCCAGCAAGGATCAATCAGTCCTTACAGAAATTGTGATTGCCAACCAATTATCAGACGATTGTGTTTTAGTTCTTTTCAGCCTCAATGAAGAGGATTTTATGGTGCTTTGACTTGAGGGATTGAGAGCTAGGAAGTTAATAGAAATAACAGTAATATGAAGAACAATTGAAGTATTTCATAAAAAATGAACACTTACAATGGTCCGAACTCAGCCTCAGAGAGGTTTACAACAGCAATCTACTTGAATCTACTTGAAGCTACTCCTATGAATCGAAGTGCAGTGCAGGTATTTAAAAGGCAGGTATTTAAGAACAGGTATTTAAAGACTGGAAATGTAAAAGACTGGAAGAAAAATATTATGAAGTAAATGACTGATTTGCATGATCTGAGTCCGTCCTTTTGCTGGGGGCTGCCTGCTATTTATACTCGTCAGTGATGACCTTCGAACTGCACTTCGAACCGTCGAACTGCTCCTCCATGATCGCTGATCATGCCCTTCTCAAAGTAGCTCCATTACGCCATTACTGGCAGTTAAGCTTCCCTCTTGTACTTGAATTTGAATATGAGTAACGTTGAAGATATGTCATCTTGCATCCCGTTATTAATCTAGTGTTATCCAGATCATGTGAGGACCAATATTTATTGCCACTGTACGATCTGGGATTAAAGGCTTGAATAACCTTCCTTTATTACCCTTACTCTGCCATGTGTCGAACTGTACTGGCTTTTACCAAATATGTTAGCCAACAGGTTGAATATATAATACCTTTTGGGTATGTTTGATTGGACGGACTGGAAAATGGGGATTAGAATTCATCGGACTTGAGTCCTGGGACTGTGAATCCCCCGAAATATTTGGTGCGGATTGGATATTATCCTGTGTTTGTTTTTTCATGGGATTAGATGTCTGGATAGGACTATTTTCAGTGAATCCAACGTTTGGTTGGACGGACTGGGTAGAATAAATGAACAAAAGACTATTTTACCCTTTTTCAATTGTTTATTAAGTAATAGCAATATTAAACATATTTTAATATTTTAATTATTTTTAAATTAAATAAATAAATAAATAAAATATCAATAAAATTTGTTTTAAATCATTACTGTGTAACAAATCATTATTTTTTTTACATGCAAAACTTTACTGTGTTTGTTTATTTACACAATTAAATAAATTTTTTTTTACACAATAATAAATAAATAACCACTAAATTTGATTTAATAAAATACTGTATAAACCTGTATAAAAAATTTATATTTATTTTTTGTAATTAAAATTTTAAATAAAACACATTATTAAAATTTATGATAGTATAATTGA